TCTCTCTCTCTCTCTCTCTCTCTCTCTCTCTCTCTCTCTCTCTCTCTCTCTCTCTCTCTCTCGCCCGTATGTGATTTGGGCTTTGGTGGTAATCACTCTGTGTCCCTCCCCTCCTCTCCTTTTCTCTCTCTCCCTGGCTGCTAGGTGCTTCGGGCTTTGGTGGTATGTGAACCTGGTGCTATGTGCTTCGTGAGCTTGGTGATTCGTGCGGTTGGCGCTACATGGATTGTGAGCTTGGTGCCAAGTGCTTTGTGCTGCGTGCTACTTCAACTTCTACGTGGCTTTGGTGCTATTTGCTGCTATGTGAGCGTGGTGCTGCATGCTTCGTGAGCTTTGTGATTGCGCCATGCGATGTCAACATCGATAGTCAGTGGTCGTTCGATGCAGACACCGTAAGTTGCATTGCACCGGGCGATGTGCTTCTCTGTTTTTTTTTCTTGTCAGTTAAAAAAGAAGGAAAAAAAACAAAAACTTTAAGACGAAATCCTTGCATGTCCGAAGTCTTGGCCACCGTTGCCATGGAGGTCTGAAGGTTGAATCAGGTTGTAGACCCAGGAGCCTAGCTCAGTGGGTACAACCATGAACTGTTGAAATACAGACCTTTGTTCGAATCCAGATGATGGAACTTGACAAGTAAAACCAACTACTAATGAATTGCTTGGGGTCCGTCAGCTCAATGATAATATCTCAAGGCCGGTGCCCTTTAGAAAAAAAAAAAAAAGAAAAAAAAAAAGAATAATTTTGTAGGTCAGGAGGTTGAATCCGGTTGTAAAGTGGGAAAATCTTGCGCACAGTCGCCGCGGTGTATCCTGTTCTTGCTCCATGCGATGTCAACATCGATAGTCAGTGGTCGTTCGATGCAGACACCGTGAGTTGCGTTACGCCGAGCGATGTGCTTTTTCGTTTTGTTTATGTCAAATTTTTAAATTTTAAAATAAGTTTAAATAACTATAAAATATAAAAATTAAAAATAGTAATAAAAAGAAAATGAAAAAAGAAAAAAGAAAAGAAAAAATAGAAAGAAAAAGATAAAAAAAGATAAAAAGAAAAAGAAAAGAAAAGATTAAAAAAAAAGGTCAACATCAACAAGAACTTGCCCTTCCGTAGAAAAAAAAAAATGTCCCCCCACCCAAAAAAAAGGCTGTGCGTTAGAAATCGCTGTATCTTCGAAGTCTGCCGCTGGGTGCGTGTGAGGGAAAAATTTTGCGAGAGAAGTCGCCGTGGAGGTGAGCATGTCGAATCCATTTGTTCGGTGCTGTTTGTTTTTATGCTTTATTCTTGTAATATTTATATTTTTATATTAATATTCAAGGTTGCCGGCGTTCGGGACGGACCGAACGCCCGAACCGGAACGCCCGAACGTCCGGGCCCCCCTGTAGACACGTTCGACCGTTCGGGCAAAACGCGGACCAAAAAAAAACAAAAAAAACAAAGTCGTCCAAAAAATCGGAAAACAATATATATTATGCAGAAAGATAAACTGAACAACGTTTTCCTCCGAGTAACATCCAAATTCGTTACCAAATTTGAAATAAAAATAAAATACTGAAAACACAAAAAAATAATAGAAATAACTAATTTGAGCAGCGAATTAAAATCAGTGCGCGGGCGGGCACGTTTTTAACACCTCCATCTTTGGAGATTTTTTGGCTTAGTCAAATTCCCTGAAAATTCATATATGTGTATCTCGCATGATACACAACTCATTAAAAAAATATTAAAAATTAATAAAAAATTTTAGGCCCCGAAACAAAGTGAAAACAAAAAGAGAAAAGAGAAAAAAAACAAAATAGTGAGTGCGTGAGCACATTTTGACACCGCCATCTTTGGCGATTTTTTTTTTTTTTTTGGCTAAGCAAAATGAAGTCATAATTTAGAGGCATGTACCTCACATCATACAGAACTCACCAAAAAATAATTCAAGAAAAAATAATAATTTTTAGGCCCGGAAATATTTTTTGACGGGGTCCGAACCTCTCTTCAGGTTCGGAGGGGTTCGGCCCCCGAACGGGACCCCGAACGCCCGAACGTACAGAGGTTGGCCTGGGGGCCTCTGTACGTACAGGCTGGTAACCATGTTAATATTTATATTCATTATATTAATATTAATATTTTTATATTTATAATTATATTTTGATATTATAATATATATTTATATTTATAATATTTATTGTTGTTGGCATTGCGATGTGCTTCTCCGTTTTTTTTTTTGGCACCTTAAAAAAAGAAAAAAAGACGAACAACAGAAAAAATGTCAATATCATCAATGTCAACAACTATTCACCCTTCCATACAAAAAAAAATTCCGGCAAAAAAACAAAGGCAGTGCGTCAGAAATCGCTGCATCTGCAAAGTCTACGGTCGGGGGCGTGTCAGGGTAAAATTAGAGGGCGAAGTCGCCGTGGAGGTGAGCAGGTCAAATCCATTTTTTCGCTGTTGTCTGTTTGTTGTTGTCACATTGTCATTTTCATTGCGATATGCTTCTCCGTTTTTTTTTTGAGTCACTTTATAGGAGAAAAAACAAACAAACAAAAGAAAGAAACGCCAACATCAACAATCATTGCCCTTCCGTAGAAGAAAAAAAATTGGCCAAAAACAGTAAGACACCTACGAAACACCCTCGGCGGCGGACAAGCGCGGCCGAGTCCGCCACCCCCGCGGACGCGTGGCGGCCGGTGGGGAGGGGGTTTGGGGATTTGGAAAACGCCATGGGGCAGCGCATCCCCAGCCCCATCCCCTCAAAAAAAAAAAAAAAAAAAAAA